TCACCCTAAGCCCCCCCCACCCCACCCCTCAGGCTGTGCCTGCTGGGCCCCCTGTCCCTCCACTCCCCCCGGCCCCAGTCCAGCACTGAAGCTCTCTCTCCCTGGCCAGGGTGCTTCGTGGACGACAATGGGGTAGAGTTTCCAATCGGACAGATCTGGTCTCCGGGTGATCCCTGTGAGTTTTGCATCTGCCAGGTGACTGAGAACCTGCTCTACTTCACTCTCCTTACCCGTCCCTGCAGCAGGCAGCCCGCCTCCTCTGGCCCCCTCCCTGTGCTACCCAGCGTTGGTGGCCTGCCCTGGCTGGGGCCGGGGGCCGGGGGCCGGAGGCAGAGCACTGTGGTCCCTGGTCAGTGCGTGGTTGGACAGCCCCACTGCTGGGCTGATGTTGAACACTCCACTTTGGGTTCCAGGACCTCACAGCTGTCCGCTGGCGTCGGCCTTGGAGGCCTGCTCATTTAGTGCTGTCCTGCAGCACCCTGTCGGGGGCCCGTGACAGTGCCCAGCATCGATGGGCCAGGGCGGGCGGTGCGGGGCAGAGGGCCGGGGGGTCGGCTGTGCGTGCCGTGGGTTCCTGTCAAGTGCCTCTCTCTTGCAGGCAAACGGCTCGGTGAGCTGCAAAAGGACGGACTGCTTGGAGACGTGTCCTCACCCCATTCAGATCCCTGGCCAGTGCTGCCCAGACTGCTCAGCAGGTACCCAGGCCTGGGCTCCCCTCCCAGGGGTCTACCATCTGTGGGGAGGAGCATAACCCCCGAGAGCCCCTTGCTTCTGGCAATGAGGAGCCACCCTCGCTGAAAACCCAGGGACAGGGCATCTCCCTGTTCCACCAAACAGCAGGCCCGCGGTGCCTCTGCTCAGACAGACGTCAGCCAGGCCACTGAGCGTTCATGGGGACATGGAGACCCATCCTCCTCCCAAAGGCTAAGCAGCCCTCAGATGGAAACAGCTTTAAGTCACCACCAGTGTGTGGCGCTAGCTTTGCCCTGGCGATCCAGCTGTGACTGGCTCTCCCTCCATCCCTTGAGCTACCCTGGCAGCTCTGGATATGTCCCAGACAGACAAGCTCCACCCCTGGTCTCTGCACTCTGCCAGGTGTGCTGTGGCCTCATGGGAGGCGGCTGGCTTTCTGGCGGGAGGTGACACGACTCTGTCTTTCCTTCTCTCTCTTTCCTCAAGGCTGCACCTACATGGGAAGGATCTTCTACAACAACGAAACGTTCCCCTCTGCCCTAGACCCCTGCCTCAGCTGTATCTGCCTGGTGAGAGCACCACCTTCCCTCCAAGCTTGTCTGCCAGAAAGGCCTCTCAGGTCCTAAGCTAAGGGGCTTTGTCTAACCTGGGGCTGCACCTTCAGGGCTAGGTCCCGGGCTGCTACAGATGTGTATAACATGCAGATAGTGGAGGCAGGCACCATGGCTCCCCTGGACCAGGGAAGAGGAGTCTGTGGGGTGAGGCTGTGAGTGCAAGGTGCCATGGGGAGCGGGAAGGGTTTCACAGGGTTGTCATTTGGAAGAAAATGAGGTGAAGACAGGTTTAACCATCCTACCACTGCTGCTGCTGTCCATGGAGAGTCCTGTTGCTCATCCTCCCTGGATGGCTCAGGGTGGAGAGTGGGTGGCTGACTAGATGGCTACGTCTACACTGGCCCCAAATTCCGGAAAAGGGATGCATAGCAGGTAAGTCAGAATAGGGAAATCCGTGGGGGATTTAAATATCCCCCGCGGATTTAAATAAACATGTCCGCCGCTTTTTTTCCGGCTTGGGGAAAAGCCGGAAAAAAGCGTCTAGACTGGCGCGATCCTCCGGAATAAAGCCCTTTTCCGGAGGATCTCTTATTCCTACTTTCAGGTAGGAATAAGAGATCCTCCGGAAAAGGGCTTTATTCCGGAGGATCGCGCCAGTCTAGACGCTTTTTTCCGGCTTTTCCCCAAGCCGGAAAAAAAGCGGCGGACATGTTTATTTAAATCCGCGGGGGATATTTAAATCCCCCACGGATTTCCCTATTCTGACTTACCTGCTTTGCATCCCTTTTCCGGAATTTGGGGCCAGTGTAGACGTAGCCGATGTGAAAACAGGGAAGTTTTTTTTTCTTCTAAATTTTTTGCAGAAAATTTCAGTTTTTCAGTGGGAGTTTGAAAACAGAAATGTTTCGATGAAAAATAAAGCTGCCGAGTGTCATGGGAGTTGTAGTTCAGTTGCCTTGTACTCCCGGGCTGCGTCTAGACTGGCATGATTTTGCGGAAATACTTTTAACAGAAAAGTTTTTCTGTTAAAAGTATTTCCGCAACAGCGTATCTAGATTGGCACGGATGCTTTTGCGCAAAAAGTGCTTTTGTGCAAAAGCATCCATGGCCAGTCTAGACGCGATTTTGTACAAGGAAGCCCCGATCACCATTTTAGCCATTGGGGCTTTTTTGCGCAAAACAGTTCTTCCCTGTCTACGCTGACCTTCTTGCGCAAGTAGTCTTGTGCAAGAGGGTTTTTTCCCGAGTGGGAGCGTGAAAGTATTTGCTCAAGAAGCACTGATTTTGTACATTACAAAGTCAGTGCTCTTGTGCAAATTCAAGCTGCCAGTGTAGACAGCTGGCAAGTTTTTTGCCAGTCTAGATGCACCCCCAGTGCCTTCTATGGGCTGGGTTCCGTGGTTGGACTACATCTCCTAAGATGCAACATGGTCTTTCTTGACTTTGGAGGCAGTTGCATCCTGGGGGATGTAGTCTAAGGGAGTCCAGCCCATAGAGAAGAATGGGAACATGAGGCAGTTGATCTAAAGCTTTTATGGGCCAATGCAGGAATATTTTCTAATCAAAATATTTTGACTTTGGGTTGTTCTCTCTTGCTTTTTTTTTTCTTTTAATGAAAAATGGACATTTTATACTTTTTGCAAAAAGTTTTGTTTTGTTGAAAACTCAATTTCCTGTGGAAAAGCTGGTTCAGAGGAGAATTTCCCACCAGCCGTAGGCATAACTCACTGGCTGTGTCTACACTGGTATGAATTTCCGGAACTGCTTAAAACGGAATACTATTCCGTTTTCAGTTTTTCCAGAAAAGGAGCGTCTACATTTTTCCGGAAAAGCGTCTGTGGCCAATGTAGACACGCTTTTCCGGAAAAGACTACTGGGCTGTCTACACTGGCTTTTTTCCGGAACAGTGTTCCGGAATAAGGACTTATGCCCGAGCGGGAGCAGAATAGTTTTTCTGGAATAGTGGCTGATTTTGTACAGTAGAGCATTGTTGCTTTTCCGGAAATTCAAGGGCCAGTGTAGACAGCTCGCAGCTTATTCCGGAAAAGCGGCTGATTTTCCGGAATAAGTGGCCCAGTGTAGACACAGCCCATGTGTTTCCTGCCAGTCGTGGTCTCCCAGTCACCTGCCTGCCTTGTGCTGTGGCTAATGCAGACTCCTAGTGTTGCTGTTCTGTGTCCTACAGCTGGGCTCTGTGGCTTGCTCCCCTGTGGACTGCATCGTCTTCTGTGTGTACCCCTTTCATCCGGAGGGAGAATGCTGCCCTGTCTGTTATGGTAAGTGCTGCAGCCTTGGGGAGGTTTGGAGTTCTTTCCTGGCTGCTTCCAGACCACCATGGGCTTTGACCCCTTCCGATCTCACCATCTGGGGAAGAGGGTCTGGTCTGCTCAGTCCTGTTGGAGTCTGGCAAGTGTCCAGCCTATGGGGAGGCTCCACTGAGCCCAGGAAACCAACTAATTACTTGAGACAAATAAAACAGGGATGGGTGGGATGGTTAAAAGGGTCCCACCAAGGGATCCGGAAGGGGACAGTGGGCAGAACGCCCTGGACAGCACCCTCTGCACCTCAAAAGCATAGAGAAAGAAACACCAGCTGCATCCTCCCCTAGCAGGTGACTGCACATCAGTGTTGGGTGAAGTGATTCTGCCTTTGTTGTTTGGGTTACAGCAGTGCCTGGAGACCCAGGCTGGGATCAGAGCCCTACTGTGCTACGTCCACACAGCAGCCTCTTCAGGGCAGGGACTGTCCCTACGTAGGCAAGGCAAATAAAGGGCAGGAGTGGGGAAGTGACTTGCCCAATGTTACTCAGTAGAGGCAAGACTAGAACCCAGGCCTGCTGGTGCCCAGACCTGTGCTCTGTCAACCAGACCGCCCCCCTTTGGTACTGTCTAGCCTGGCTCTAATCATTACTGTCAGGCAGCGTTTCTCAAACTGGGGTCCGCAAGGGAACTCCAGAGGGTTTACAGGCCCCCTTGATCAGCTTCTTCCCCTTTGTCCCAGGGCCTCCTAGGGCCTGTGCCCAGGTCTTAAGGCAGGCTCCATACCTGCCCTGCTCGTGTGTGGTGCCCAGAAGTGGCCACCAAGTCCTGGCACCCTATAGTGCCGGCTCCGCAGTTCCCATTGGCCAGGAAACGCGACCACTGGGACGGTGGCGGGGGGTGCCTGCAGACATGAGGGTAGTGCATGGAGCCTTCCTGCCTGCCCCTACCCCTAGGGGCTGCAGAGACCTGGCAGCCACTTCAGGGAGCTGTGTTAATTGCTGCTGGGCCCCATATCTCAACCCCTGGCCCCAGCCCTGGAGTCCCTTTCCACACCCAAACTCCCTCCCAGAGTCGGCACCCTTCCTCCCTGCAGCCCGCTCCTGTGTCCCAGCTCAGCCCACTCCTGCACCCTAAACCCTTATCCCTGGCCCCAACCCAGAGCCCTCACCTGCAGCCAGAGCCCTCTGCTCCTGCACCCCAGCCCTCTGCCTCAGAGCAGAGCCCCCTTCCCACACCACAAACCCTCATTCTTGGCCCCAGCCAGAACCCACAACCCCTCCCCAGCCTTGTGAAATCAAGTGAGCAATGGAGGGAGGAGGGATGGAACGAGCAGGGATGGTCGTGGAGGCGGGTTTGGATAACGCATGGGGAAGGGGTGGGATCTCGGTGAAGGCACAGGGCGGGGTGGAGGGTCCCTGAAAAAATGGAAATCAAACCGAGGTCCTCGGGTTGCTCAGCTTTGAGAGCCGCTGCTGTCACGTTACAGCTCGGCTCTCCCCTGGGCCGGGTGTCTGTTCCCTGCAGATTGCAACTACGAAGGCAGGAAGGTGGTGAACGGACAGACGTTCGTGCCGGAGGGTGAGCCCTGCATTCGCTGCACCTGCCAGGTGAGCCGTGCCCCTCGGAGGGGAGGGAGCTGACAGGCATTGCTCTGCAGGGCCTGGGGGAAGGATGGGCATGGGCGTCGCTCAGCATCAGCTACGCTGGGATGCCTCACGTGCCTCTCCAGGGGCTGGTGTGATCTGGGCTGAGGGGACGCTGGGAGCTGCCTGCTGGGAGGCTGGTGTGATATGGGCCAAGAGATAAGGGGTTTGGGATGGAGCAGGGGGCTCCCCTCTGGCTCCTTTAGCCCAGCAAGCCTGGGCACGACTGAAGGAACAACCCAGCGGGTTGCTGGGTGTGTGGCGGAGCTGCCCAGCTCCCTGCAGTCCCCACAGGTGAAGTTTGTCCTGGCCTGATGGAGAGGCGGGCCGTGTGGATGTCTGCAGGCAGCAGTGGCTCACTCCTTCCTTTCCCCCCTCTCTCAGCTGGGGGAGGTGAGCTGTGAGAAGAGGCCTTGCACCCGTTCCTGCACAGAGCCTTCAGCGCCGCCCGCCGCCTGCTGCCCTGCCTGCCAAGGTAATAGCCCGCCTGGCCTCTGCGCCCTTATGCCCCTAGGGTGGGCACGGCCCAGCCTACACAAGGAGGTTTGCCCTTGTGGCAGTGTCACTGTCCTGGCTGAGGGCAGGAGCAGAAACCTGAGGCAGGGCTGGCCCATGACATTTTGGCACCTGAGGTGGGGAGCTCCAATGATGCCCCCATGTCCCCTCGCTTGGGCCAAAACTTTGAAATGTCTCAGTTCTCTGGGTCCTAGCAGCGTCCTCTCCCTCACAGTCTGGCACCGGAGGCGGCCGCCTCAGTTCGCCTCATGGCATGGCCAGCCCTGACCTGAGGTTCTGTGGCCTGAGCTATGGAGCAGGCCCCTTTGGGTAGCAGTGGCAAGAGCTGACTCAGAAGCCCCTGGGTGAGGCAAGGCCACTAGAGGGCCATGGAGAGTGTGGCTGATTCCTGGGTCTTTTTAGTGCCCACATAAGGGCCCTGGGGTGCGAGGTCTCCTCAGTCATCGCTGGGCCTCCAGGTGAGGCTGTAACTGGGTGTTCCTGTCTGGGGTGGGAGAGCCCCCCAGAATAAGGCAGCCCTGTAGGCCCAGCCCCCCTGCCCAAGGGGGTTGTGTGAGGAAGCGCAGTGCTAGGCTTTATGCCAGGGTTCCTGGGCTCCCCAATTTCAGGGCCTTGCCCTACAGAGCTCTGCCCCATGCCCCTGGATGGGTGAACCACAGTCCTGGGGGAGGCACTAATGACAGCCCTGTCTCCATTAATCACAGACACCCCAGTCCTTCTGGAGAGCAGCCCGGTCCCTGTCCAGGTGGACGACGCGGAGCCTGGGAAATCCCTACCCCGCAATCCCAGAGAGAACTCCATGTCCTTGCCCAGGGCCAGCGACTGCCACCTCTGCCCCAGCCCCCCTGGTCCTGCCTCTCCCAGCCCAGAGCGCCGGCTCCTCGCAGGAAGGAACGTGATCCCCCAGGACGCTGGGCCCGTGAACACACCTGGGCCCCTTCCCTCCAGGCCTGGCTCCTTTGGATCTAGTACGGCTCCCCCGGGGCCTTCCCTGCCCCCTACCGTTCTGATGGAAACCTCTGGACCCACAACAGCACCTCCAAGCCCTGATCAGCCCCCTTCGTCTGCCTCCGCAGGGCCTAGCACTGCCCCCTTGGCCCTGACCCAGAGCCCCGGCATGGTCCCGGCTCCTCAGAAGCATTCCACGCTCCCCTCCGAGGGAGCGGAGCCATCACCGCAAGGGGAGAGCACGCCCAGCCGGCCAGCTCCGTAGTGCCCCTCGCCAAGGGGATGGGGTGCGCTCCCTCTGTTGCAGCCGTGTGAGGAGGAGGAAGCTGGCAGCAGCACCGAGTTTAATGCAATGGGGTGTGGGCGGGAGGGAACAATTGCTTGTGCTGAGCAATGTGCATGGGAAGGACGGCTGCCTCTTCCCCGGCCTGTGCCCCACCCGCTCCCTCCCTGGATCCTGCCGGATAGAAGGTGCCTCAAAGGGCCACACCAGCTACACAGCCCGCTGGTGGGGAGGAGGTGGCATGGCCCCGCTTTGGCTGCCTGAGCAATCCCAGCTGATGAGGGGAGCCATGATGCCGCTCGGGGAAGACGGGCGGCTCAGCTGAGATACATGCGGTTTTCCGGGTACGTGTGAGCGGCCTGCCTCCCTGCAGCAAATGTAGAAGGACATGGAAGGACCCAGCTCCCCGCGTTGGATGGGACATGCTCACCTGGTCCCAAGGGGTGATCCCTGGGCAGTGCTCCTGTGATAGATGAATCTCCCTACCTTCTGGGTGGTCCCTGCCTCAGCCAGGTCCAGGGCCCCTGGCTGTGGATCCCCAGATCTCGTGTCACTTCTTACAGACTCTTGTTGAAACCTTAGGACTGAGGTTTCAAAACTTCCAAAGGAATTTGAACACCCAGTCCACACCTGGGGATCCAGTGCCCCTGGCCCGCTTTGCAAGTCCTACTCTAGATTCCTTGGGACTGCTGGGGAGCCTCATGGCCTACCCTGCTGGACGGGGCTGGGTAGATTTCCCAAGCAGGTATCTGATCTCCCATCAGGACCAGCCTTGCCCGGTCGCTGCCGAAGAGTAGTAAAGATTTCCCTACTCACCCACACGGTCCCTGCTGCCACCTACAGCTGCCTGGGCAAACTGGATGGGCCCTGCAGCCCTCAGGCTGATCCCTCAATGGTGGAGTTGAGGGATCTCAACAGGAGGTGGCAGGTTCTTCCTCTGTGTCTCCTCAGCCAGCCCTGCATGTGGCTCCGCATGCAGCAGCCCATCTCTGCCGCAGGAGGGGCCGCAGGTGTCTGATGTGAAGCGGACACGAAGCAGGGAGCCTATGGCTGTCCTTTCCTGCTCCCCCCAAGCAACTTCACTCAGCTCCTGGCGAGGAGCGGGGAGAGGATGGATCCCTGTGGGAGCCCGTAGCTGGGAGCAGGTGTCCTTGGTACAGCTTGGGAGGAACAATCTCTGGGCCTTTCCCCTGTGCAGAGGGAGCTCACAGTCTCTGCTCATTGCTCTGCGATGGGTGAAGGATTCCCAGTTCAAGCCAGTGACTAAAGTCCTTTCACTGAGTTAGTCATGCCAGCTGCTGCCACTGGGTGCCGACATAGGCTGAAGGATTTCCTTGGGGACTCCCCTCGGAGGGACTCAAACCCACCATGGCCTCCTGGCTTCCTGCAGCCGCTGCCTGTGTGCTGAATGGGACAGATAAGTCCCCTCTTGCATCCAGGTCTGTGGCCACCCCCTCAGGCACCTGCGTCTTCCCTCTGCCTGCCCAATTGCAGGGTGTGGGCTCACATGTCTGCACCTTGGGCCCACAGGCAAGACAATCTGCTGAATACAGAGACCTGAACCCTTGCTTCTCTTGCAGCACCTCGATCGCCCCTGCTGGGCCACACCAGCAGCCTTGTTCCAACCCCAGCAGCACCCCCGGTTGCAGGATGGGTAATTTATTATTTATTTGCATTGTGGTGGCATTCAGGAGCCCTACCCAGTCATGGACCAAGCCCCTTGGAGGCAGGAGCTGCACTAATTCAGAACGGAGGGTCAGGCCCTGTGAGTGGACTTAAGATCAGAGTCTAGTGGGGATAGTGCTGTGATTAGCAGTGGGGGCCACACTAAGGTCAGGGTTCGCTAAGATTGTAGTTGAGCTTGGAGCTAGAACAGGGGTTGGCAATAAGTTTTCATGGGGGGGCACCCCAAGATTTTGGTAAGTGGTCAAGGGCCATGCTTTTCTATGGAGGGGCTATGGGGTCTGGGATGGAGGTTGGGTGCAGAAGGGAGCTCGGGGTAAGGGACTGGGGTGCAGGAGAGGGTCTCAGGGAGTTTGGGTGAAGGAGGGCTGTGACCTGAGGCGGGGGATTAGGGTGCAGGAGAGAATTCTGGCCTCAGGGAGGGGTGTAGCAGGGGAGGCAGGGCCTGGGAGGGAGTTGTGATTTGGGGTGGGGAGGTGCAGGGGGTTAGTGTGGGGCAGGGAGTTGGGGAGCAGGAGGAGCTGGGATGCCAGAGTCAGGCTCTGACTGGGAGATAGTTACAGGTGGGTCTCAGCCAGCAGCCAAGCGGGACCCTCAGGCAGGCTCCCTGCCTGCAACCGCTTCAGGCTGATCCACGTGCCCCCTAAGCTCCCCAATGCAAGGCCTGAATGCAAAGGTTGTGAAGGTTTATTTCTACTCCATGGTAGTGAAAAATGCCCACTATTTCGAACATTAGTTTTGATTAAAAAATAAGACCCTTGGTAAGCAAAACTGGGCATGTTTTCACTTTTCTTAAAGCAAAAATGATACATTTTGGAAATGAAAACCATGTAAGATCAGAATTGTAGTGTTTCTTTCAGACAGAAATTAACTTTTGATGAGAAAGGGGGATGTTTTAGGATGTGAGAATCCCTTTTGTGAAAATGGCAGGATTGT